TCTGTCCAGCACATAGACCGCACCAACCCTATACACAACATACATATAACACGCCACTAACAACTCTGTCCAGCACATAAAAAGCACCAAAACCAGTGATTTGTCCCAGTTTTTTACAAGAAATGTCCCTGGTGTTTTTGATCAGTTTTATACCTGCCACAGTAAACAGAGACATAAACTGTCATATGTTTAGGTAAAATACTTAAATGCTGCTTAAAAATGACCAAAACAGAACAAAAATATGACTGTATTGACTCACATTAGTGCCGTGTGCAGAACAGCTTTTAAAAAAATAAAAAATAAAAATGCTTCAGAATTGTATTATTACCAACCACCACAAACCAGAGATGTAGGGCTGTCGCGGTTAGTGAATTTCTCCTGTGGTGTGGTATAGCGGCTCAACAGCGTGATATGCAGTGATACTGCAGCCCCTCCTTCACCCCACATCCTCCGGAATTACAGTATTTCCAGGGGCACTGAACATTTTTCTCCCATGATGTGCTTGTTGCAGATGCACATGTACCTTAGTTGTCGTGTGGATATATTGTGTGTAGCGGGAGAAGTAACATTTGGCTCTGGAACAAGTGCCGCTGCATCTCTCCAGCTCTCACTGTGGCAGCTCAGGTCAGAGACCTGCACCAGGTCGTGTACTCGCGGACTTAAGACAGAGAGAACCCTGAGCCCATGGAGCAGGTGTCTGCAAAGTGCGATCGGACGACGGCTGCACTTTCCTCTGCGGAAAGAGCAGCAGAGCCGGTCCTTTTGCCTGCGGTCACCCAACGGTCTACGTGGTCGCACCTTAGTCCTGGGTGAGTCCTGGGTTAGTCCTGGGTTATCATGGGTATAGGTGGTAACAGGTGGAATGTTAACGGGTCCGGGCAGGTGACTCTGGGTCGGGTCACGTTGGTCATGTGCGGTGATTGTGGTGGCCCAACATGCACCGTGGTGGACCTCTCAGTACCACGGTGATTCATTTTTACACTTATTGTGACCTCCCTACAGGGATGTCCCAGTTTTTTATTTTGAAAATCTTTTCATTCTGCATTTGAGTGGAACTGAACACTGTGGGTGACATCACACTTTTGTATAAAGTCTGTAGTCGTGTCCAGAGTGAGTCTTACGGAGGCTGTTGTATAACAGTGTTTGGTTGATGTTGATGCAACAAGCAGTTGTAGCTCTGCAGTATCATGAAGCACACCTCTGCTCTCTGAGAACATGTGTCCTGCAGTGTGAATCTGCTCATGCTCACGTGTGTGTGGACTTCAGTGAGACGAGACACATGGAGACGGTGAGTCTGTGTCCTTGAGGTGGTGGAGGGCGAATTGTTGTGTTGATGGTACAGAAGAGTGTAACCCCTCGTTTTTTGTCCAAATCCACACACTTTATCACCTATGTGTATCACTTGTGTGTATCACTTATGTGTATCACTTGTGTGTGTCACTTGTGTGTGTCACTTGTGTGTATCACTGTGTGTGTATCACTTGTGTGTGTCACTTGTGTGTATCACTTGTGTGTGTCACTGTGTGTCACTGTGTGTGTGTATCACTTGTGTGTATCACTTGTGTGTGTCACTTGTGTGTATCACTTGTGTGTATCACTTGTGTGTATCACTTGTGTGTATCACTTGTGTGTATCACTTGTGTGTATCACTTGTGTGTATCACTTGTGTGTGTCACTTGTGTGTATCACTTGTGTGTATCACTTGTGTGTATCACTTGTGTGTATCACTTGTGTGTATCACTTGTGTGTATCACTTGTGTGTATCACTTGTGTGTATCACTTGTGTGTATCACTTGTGTGTATCACTTGTGTGTGTGTTACTCTCTGCCGGGGGGAGGGGGGCTCATTATCTGAGACCAAAGATCTTTGATGTAGTAGAGACTCAGAGGTCTCACTCTGTCTGAGAGGCTCATCTCCATAACCCACACAGTGTCACCTCTGCACATGAAAGGATGTGTGCTGTGTGTGTGTGTGTGCGTGCGTGTGCTGTGGGTGTGCCTGTGCGTGTGTGTGCGTGTGTGTGATCCTCTGCACTCGGATAAACCTGCACAAGGTCAAACATCAGCCTTATTTATGTAAACATGGTGCATACTTTGTGGCATGTTTATGTCAGAAGCCCATCCTTTCACAACCTGCCTGTCTTTGACTTGGACTTGAGGTTAAAGACTTGAAAATTACTTGAGACTTGCAAAACATCGACTTGGTCCCACCTCTGCCTTTGATTACACTCCAGTCAGTGTAATGTGACTGGAGTATAGTGATTTTTTTCAAGCAATTTTCAAGACTTTAACCAAGTTGAGTCCTGAGTCACTGGGCAAGTCAAGTCATTTCTTTAATTTCTTTTATGGTCTTTAAACCATAAAAGTACCAAATATAACTTGACTTTTAAGCTCAATTGTACTTTAAAAGTCTTGTATTTATATAAGAATTGTAGAAATTATTATTTTTATTTTTTTTTTCCTTTTTAAATGTCTTGACAAGATCTCAGTGTGCATCATTATGACATTTATCAAACTACAAAGAATTCAGATTTAAAAGGGCTTAATAACAGTTATATTGTCATGTAGTCTGCACTGAAATGGAAGGATCTGTAGTTCCCTGTTTTACTGTATTGTACTTTATATTACTGCATTGCACTGTTTATTACTGAAGTACATTTGAGGATACCATCTCACAGTATTTCAGTTACATCCAAAGTAACTGCACATGTTCCAGTTTGTTCTTGTGAAATTAAGCGCCACATTTATCAAGTGTAAAGAGAAAAGTATTTTCTAAAAACATACATATTTTTTTAAGAGAAGCATCAAGACTTCTCGAATCACAGGCCTCAAGTCCAAGTCAAGTCTTAAGTCACTGACCTTCAAGTCCCAAGTCTTAGTCCATTTTATCAAGTCAGGTCTCAAGTCCTAAAAATAGTGACTAGAGTCTGACTCAAGTCCAAGTCACAACTTGCAAGTCCCCACGTCTGGTCAAAGGTGATGAAGAGTCTTGACAAGGCACCAGGAGCTTTATTTGAACCAACAACCCTCCAGTTCCAAGCCTCAACACCACTCTCTCCCTTTTGCCGTCTTATAATAAAATGTGAAAAATGAAGTTAAAAGCACAGGCTGGTCTACTTTTACATGGACGGAATCATTTTTACAAAAGCGATCTTTGTGCTGCTGTCACGTTTAGTCCCAGTCACTTTTTCACTTTTCCAAGTGGAGACAAAGGCGTGCGTGGGAACCATTCTGCTGCCACTCACACAAACCGCTTTGATTTGTATTAACTGAGATCAGAGCAAAAAGAATGATTTGAGTTCACAATAATTCACTCTTTTGAACGCAGCACAAACGGAACCGGAGATGTCAGAAATGTAGAACAAAAGGATGACAACTGTATCGACTGTGTTATCTTATGAAATCTTTCATCAAAATATGAGGCACACGTATCAGAACTGTGCACGTTTTGTCTGTGCCCCCATGTCATATGTGTAGCTTGTTCACACTCTAGTCTGTTCACACTCTAGTTTGTTCACATGCACGTAAATTGTCCACACACTAGTCTGTACATGCACCAGCCTGTTCACACCCAAATGCACATTATTCTGTTCACACACTAGTTTGTTCAGACATTAGTCTACTCACTCACACACACACATACACTAGTTTACACACACACACACACATTATACTATCTGTCCACACACTATTCTGTCCACACACTAGTCTGTCCACACACTATCTGTCCACACACTAGTCTGTCCACACACTAGTCTGTCCACACACTGTCTGTCCACACACTAGTCTGTCCACACACTACACACACTAGTCTGTACACACACTAGTCTGTACACACACACACACTAGTCTGTCCACACACTAGTCTGTACACACACTAGTCTGTACACACACTAGTCTGTACACACACTAGTCTGTACACACACTAGTCTGTGCATACACTAGTCTGTACACACACTAGTTTGTCCACACACTAGTCTGTTCACTCACTAGTTTGTAAACACACCTGTGGTGGCTGGTCCATAATGGACGATGAGGTGCCATCAATCATGCAAATGTGTAAAACAATTTTACATAAAAATTTGAGTTGGTTTGGCATATGTCTTTAAATATTACATAAATGTTGACTATTAATAACATAAATCACAAGAAAATATATTCATAATGTGTTAGATTCTTCAGTTCTGGAAACATCAGACCCATTCAAAGTCTATTGAATTCTGACCAGTCAGATCGTTGCGTCTGTGTGTCCAGTGCACTTCAGCGACATGCGTGAGGGCATCAGATCTACAGCCCATAACCCAACCTAATGTCTTTTTTCTTATTATTATATTTATTTATAAACATGTTTTTACCCCCCTAGTGTTTCCATCCCCAGTCACTGGTCCACACACCAGTCTGTCCACACACCAGTCTGTCCACACACCAGTCTGTCCACACACCAGTCTGTCCACACACCAGTCTGTACACACACTAGTCTGTCCACGCACCAGTCTGTCCACACACCAGTCTGTCCACACACCAGTCTGTCCATACACCAGTCTGTCCACACACCAGTCTGTCCACACACCAGTCTGTACACTAGTCTCACACCAGTCTGTACATACACACTAGTCTGTCCACACACCAGTCTGTCCACACACCAGTCTGTCCACACACCAGTCTGTCCATACACTAGTCTGTCCACACACCAGTCTGTCCACACACTAGTCTGTACATACACTAGTCTGTCCACACACCAGTCTGTCCACACACCAGTCTGTCCACACACCAGTCTGTACATACACCAGTCTGTCCACACACCAGTCTGTCCACACACTAGTCTGTACACCAGTCTGTCCACACACCAGTCTGTCCACACACTAGTCTGTACATACACAGTCTGTCACACACCAGTCTGTCCACACCACCAGTCTGTCCACACACCAGTCTGTCCACACACCAGTCTGTCCACACACCAGTCTGTCCACACACCAGTCTGTGAGTATCCTTGGGACTTACCTCCCGCGGGGCACATCCACATCGTCCTTCCTCCACCTGACGTTGGGCTGAGGGTCTCCCTGGACCAAACACCTGAACTCCACTGACTCCTCCTCCAGCACCACCTGGTTTATGGGCCTCTTCAGGAAGGTGGGACGCTCTGATGGGGGGAAAAAAAACACAAAAAAAAACTGTTACGTAATGTACCTGTGGATCTGGGGCTCTAGTCATACTCAGAGTGTCTGAAGTACATTTTGAAATACATTAAGCACCTGAAAGGTACTGTATAAATCCAAAAAGGTGATGCTACTCCATGTCACAACTCAGATCTGTGGAACGGTGTACTTACTAAGAATGTGTGTTTTTCAAGGTATTTCTCTGTAAGCATAATAAATATGTAAGTAAATAAGTAAATAAACTACTAGAACTGAATAAACGCAAGATAAATGCCATAATGTGGAACTTTCTAGGCAAAGCTAAACATCTCCCTGTAGATAGGCAGGTGGTGGATCGAGCAGAAAAGTTACACAGTGCATTTAAATATAAGAAACAGATACTGTCCTGGTTCTTGTTCTGCCCTGACACATAAAATCTCATTCTTACCAAACACAGTGACCTGTGCCGTCTCACTGTCCCTCTCGCCCACCATGTTGGTGGCCACACAGATGTACATGCCCGCGTCGCTCTTCCTGCTGTTGGAGATCATCAGCTTCCCTCCTCGGATCTGCAACACCACAGAGAGGGGAGTTTTTTGGTTGTTTATTATTATTATCATACAGAATATGTATGTATGTAATATGTGCGTATGTATGTATGTATGTATGCATGTATATATGTATGTATGCATGTATGTATATGTGTGTGTATGTATGTATGTATGTATGTATGTATGTATGTATGTATGTATGTATGTATGTATGTGTGTGTGTATGTATGTATGTATGTATGTATGTATATATGTGTGGTATGTATGTATGTATATATGTGTGTGTATGTATGTATGTGTGCATGTATGTGTATGTATGTCTATATGTGTGTATGCATGTATGTATATATGTGTGTGTGTGTGTGTGTGTGTATGTATGTATGTATGTGTGTATGTATGTATATATGTGTGTATGTATGTATGTGTATGTCTATATGTGTGTGTATGTATGTATGTATGTATGTATGGTATGTATGTATATATGTGTGTGTATGTATGTATGTATGTATATATGTGTGTATGTATGTACGTGTGTGTGTGTATGTGTGTATGCATGTATGGATGCATGTATGTGTGTGTGTGTGTGTGCATGCATGTATGTGTGTATGTACAGTGTATGATATATTTATAATCATAAATGCAGAAACACTACAGAATTCCTCCCAATACTTCATGCAGTTAAAGTCCACAGTGACGTACGGTGATTCGGTCGTCCTTGTCGTCGATGCGGCTCTTGTCTTTCCTCCAGTAGATGGTGGGCTCGGGGTGGCCTCTAGGGGGCACACACTCCAGGATGGCTGGTTCTCCCGCCGCCACCACCGCGTCTGTGGGGTTCTGCCGGAAGTCGTCTCGGAGCACTGAGAGGAAACAGAGGGAAGAGGGATATCAGTATATCAGCTAAAATTCAAGTTATAGACGTGCGTGGTATGTGTGAAGGCTGGTACAGGCTGGCTTCAGTGAGAGGGTCAGTGTTAACCTCCAAACATCACATACTCGGCAGTGTGGGTGAAGTGTCTTGTTTAAAACCCTGTGTTGAGCAATTACTACCAAACTGAGCATACATACCACAACTACATGATGAAGCTATCATTACACTGGACAATAACAATACATACAAAAGCAGTGGGCCACAACAGTTTGACAAGGAAGTTATAATTTGAGTGGTAGGCTGCATTTATATGATGATGGTCTGAACAGAAGATGCAAAAGTGGCGTTGCGTCTTCACTTTTTATTGCGTGGAATTGGATTGTGGATACATGCCAGGTGGCTCAGTGGTGACACTAGGTGGTGATGTATGTGACGTAAATACATACACGACCTGAGCAGATCTGACCAGAGTTTTGCATCTTGGGCAGAGTAGACAGAAACACTACAGTGGAGTGTATTCCACTTTTCCACTCTGGAGGGTGCTTTCAGATTTTAGTGTTTTGAAGCCCCAAAAATCGCCATCACCGTCTAAACGAAAGGCACTTCTGATCAAATTTTTGTCATTTTTACCCGCAAGCATTCTCATGTAAACAGGCCATTAGTATGAACTTGTTCTAGGGCTGCTCGATTGTGGAAAAAATCATCATCACAATTATTTTAGTCAATACTGAAATCACCATTATTCAAACAATAATTTTTTTAGTTACACGATGCATTTATTCAGCAGTTCTTTCTCTCAAAAAAGCACTTTGCTATTGATAGGCTATAAATATGAACCTTAGAGCAGTTTTGCGATGTATAAAACATAAAATGAATCAAATAAACTTTGAACAGTAACTAAGGCAGAAAAACATCAATGTATCCAAAATAAACTATATATCCAGCTGGTCTACAATCTTTATACTTAAAAAAAAAATCTTGAGTATATGACTTTGGAGATCGTTTGACACGCAAATCGAAATCGTTATCAAAATTCAATTAATTGCACAGACTTAGACTTACAAATGACAGCATTCATAGAAGATCATCAGATTTTTTCGTAATTTTAAAAGAAAAAGTCAAAGGATACATATCAGGAACTCATCCATTCATCCATTAAAAAAATGATCCACGCCAGTTACACATCTGCAACTGTCACTACTGTAACACGTCAGGGGCAGTTACGTAATCATCTACATTCAGAAGTACGAGTGGCTCCTGGGTGTGTGTGACCACCGGGCTGTGTGAGCTGAAGCTAATTGTCACTAATTCTAAAGTCAGTCCCGGAGGAGAGCGAGCAAACAGAGGCAGAGTGAGGCCCCGGAGCCGGTGTCACTCACATGCGGAGAACAGCAGGCGCACGGCGGGGGTCCTGGAGGACGAGGACTGTACGGGTGGAGCAGGGCTGTTTGCAGGAGGGGGGTCTGAGAGGGGGGGGGCGCTGGGGGCCATAGAGGACCTTTCATCGTACACACAGCCCCGAGGATCCACGGAGATAACATGATGCAACCAAACAGTGTCACAACACCACCGCTCACCAGCAAATACACTGTGCCGTTTTACTTTCTGTTTTGGCACGTCTTTTTTCATCATCATACTGTATGTTGTGCAAATAAAGCAGGTGAAAGTGCATGTCTTGTCCGTAATGGAAACGTACACAACCACTCAAAAGTTTAGACACTTTTTCACGTCTGTTTCTTCTTCTTTCCATGATTATTCACAGTGTAGATTCTCACCGAAGCATCAAAATTAAGAATGACACGTGAATGTAGCAAATAAAAATAAACTCCACTTATTTTAGACAAGTAACTCTCCACCCTTCAACTCACTCGTCAGATTTTATGTGGTACATGCGTTGTGCTGAATAGGTAAAATTAGATTCATTATTATTGTAAATGTATCATTTTGACACCTAACTTTATGCACCAATAAATGGATAATGGTTTATGGATTATAAGGATCAAAATGTTCCAATCTAAGGCTCTGGCTACATATACACAGATATTTTCATAACCACATGTACAGTCGTCCCTCGCTATATCACGGTTCACCTTTTGCGGTCTCGCTGTTTCACTTTTTTTTTTTTTTTATTTGAGCATGTATTGTATTCCTCCCCCTGCGTCCTGATTAGATAAGGGACTGTAGACTATTGTCAATCAGTCTCCTCCGTGCTGTGTCTCCTGTACAGTACAGAATGTGTTCAGCTGCCAAATGTACATAAATGTTCGATCTCTAGCAGTGTGATTCTGAAGTGCTGCGCGACCGGGCAGTTATCACGCTTACTATGAGGTACGGAGCTCTCTGTCAGTCCTTTCTCCTGTGGTCACCTCCGAGCCTGTCCCGATCATGAGTCCTGGTTCAGTTTTGGTTTAGTCCTGTTTTACTCCTGTTTTAGTCCTAGTTCAGTCCTGGTTTAGTCCTCCTCTTCAGTCCTGGAATCAGTCCTATGTTAGTCCTGGGTTAGTCCTGATTCTGTCCGTGGTGTATGCAGTGCAAAGGTTTGATATAATCTCGGGTTACTGGGCGGGTGTGGTGCTGTACTGCAGGATTCTGCGCTGTAGGACTCTATTACGGAATAAATTAATCTTTGATTTGTTACATAAAGAAGGAGGAAAGTAACAAAAGAACGACAGCAGCAGTAAGTTTTAAGAAGGATGTAAAAATGGTTACTGTCCTGTGTGAGAAAAGTGTATAAAGTGTGTGCTGAGAAGTTTTACAGACTTAAAACAGATATAATTATTGTAATATATAAAGCTGATTACTTTGTGGATTTCACCTATAGCAAGTTATTTTTAGAACATAACCCCCGCAATAAGTATAAGTATATTCCTGTATTTGGGCCTTCTGTCCACATTATGTTATATTATAAATACTGAAGAGAATGCCTTTGGCTCTTATATATACACAATTTCTTGTGACCACTGAAATGAGCCGCTCTCTGGTATTTTCATTTCGTAAAGGTAGCTCACTGGAGGAAAACGGTTGGAGACCCATGTTTTAGATTCTTAAAAATAGCCTTCATCCTTTGCTTTGAACCTTGGTTTCACATTTTTGATATTTCTTGACCCCGGCGCTGCACAGCTGTGAACTGAAAACCATTTCAGGAGACTTCATCATTAAGAGAAGGCCATGGGTTTGCACTGCTGTCCACAAAACAAACGGTGAAGACTCTGAGGATTTGAAACTAAAACTTTTTTTTTTTTTTAATCATGAGTTGAGTTCACTTTTTTCTTTACTCTGTAATTCCATATATCTTGCTTCACATATTCGAGGTCTTGTGTTTGCATCTAAAACGTACAAAGTAATAACATAAAGAAAAGACGAAAAAAGTGAATAGAACTGAATTACCGTTTGGTCAGGGGGCGACTGCTTCTTGCCTACACCACTGTAACCTGACTCAAATCAAGATTAATATTTCAGATTTACACAATTTTGAATTTGATTATTTGAATAGAAAAGAATATTTAGTAGACTTATTTGACTTTCTTTGCTTACATAATTCCATATATCTTGTTTCATATTTGAAGTCTGTATGTATATTTATATAAAAGTAAGAAAAGAAAGTAAGAAAGTAGTAAACATTGGGTGAGAAAGTGCACTGAAAAAATGGTCCGAGAGGGGTTGCTCAAATTGCAAAAACTAATTTGACAACAATAATATGACTGTTTTACGTTTCTCTGTCCAGCATGTTTAAATCTTACAAAGGTCACTTGATTGTGGCCGATGTGAGACCTGCATGTTTTAATCAGGTTGAGGAAACATGACTTTATTATAATCTGTGGTGAGGCTCCTCCCTCTGGAATTCTCCTCCCCAAAACTTTTGGAGGGAAAATTCAAATGTAACAGGACACAGGACAGTTCCAGGAGCAGAGACACACAGTGTGGAGCAGGAGGATTATCAGAGCTGATCTCATAATGTTTAAAGATTTTATGTGCTTCTCTGGACTAGAATGTCGTCATTGTTAAAACATGTTTGTGGTGTTTTCTTTGAAATTAGAGTTAATGTAAGGACTGTTTCCATGAAACAAATTGTCTTTGACTGTCCATCTACAAGAGTGTGACAGTTGTGCTCAGATTTAAATGTGTTGCTTCCAGAGTCGTCTACAAACACAGAGTGACGTCCAGAGCTCTGCTGGAGCTGTGGGGAAGTTCATGAATGTTACAGCTGATGTTTCAGAAAAAAGGAAGATGTTTGAGAACCAACAAAACACAGAGCACAGATGAACAAAGTCAGTAACTCAACTAAAATGATTTTAAAAGAGTTTTTCAAAATGAACTTCTATTGAAACAGTTAATGTATTTCTACAAGGTGATGTGGCACTAGGAGACTTTACACCAGATGCCCTCCCTGTTACTGCGTTTAGAGGAAGAAAAGCAGCACATGGTGAGTTTTGTTTCTGCAGATACACTTCTAATGTTCACATGATTCTGTTCTGGTCCATTATTGTAGTAATAAGTGCTTTAAGTATATTTAAACATGTACAAGAGAGTAGATCATCATAATGTAATCATCATGTGTTATTCTGTGTCCACAGAGACCAGAGCTTCTTCACTGGAATAAATCTTCACACTGTCCAGCTCCAAACTGTGTGTCTCTGTACTTGTGTGTCTTTGTGTGTTTGATTCTGTTTAAGACAAAACAGAACTGTGGAAAACTAAAGACTGTTTTTGTATTATTTTACAGAATTAAATCAATTCAATTCAATTATACATATTTATATATTTCATGATATGGTAAAATAAGATAAATATATATATATTCAGCATGATTTGGCCAAATTTCATCAACATTCATGTTCTGAGAAAAATATGTGTAGAGGGCATTGAAATAAGTTTCAAAGCCTAAACATAATTTTATTGCATGCAACTGCTTTCCAGAACTTTTTTACGCAAATCAAGCAACCTTTTGTTTTCAGTGTGTGTGGAAACTTTGGACTGTTAGTGTACGCG